CCTCCCGCTATTATTATAAGCGATTTTTCTTGTCTCTAGAGACAGCTCCAGGAAAAACTCTTCAAAATTGCTAAATGTTGCGCGAGAACGTGCACAGCAGCTTCAAAAATATCTACCTTGTATATTCACCCATGTAAAGCCATTACGGATTTCGTGATGTGAAGGCTTGTTCTTCGCAGGACCATATTGCTGCCTTCCACTTATATCTTTACTTCAAGTGTTTTCCGAAAGCTGGCTATTTTGCTCGATTAGTAAGGCAACATTTATGTTCTCTTCTAGAACTATTTGTTTTCAGCACATCTTGTGCTGCAGCGCAGTAACTAAGGTTAGCAGTTTTAACCTGATTTCTTCTCATACTTTTGTGGCATGATTTCTCCATGTTTTGAATCCCACACATTTTTTTAGTGCCTCGCAGATTTCTTCAGGTGTAGTACTTTCGTCTAGGTCCGCAGCGGTGGATTCCTCATTTCTGCCGTTAGGAGGCGTTCTCAAAATTTTAAAATTCCTCCGAAAAGGATTCGCTAGTGTACACAAAACAAAAAGGAGAATAAAGCAAAACGGAGAACAGCTGGTTGATCAAATCAAAATTAAAAATAACTGCACATTTGTTTCGCTGTTAGTGGGGGAAATGATAAAATTATAACTAGAAATAAAAGCTGGCATCACCGCCGTTCGAGAAACGCGATCAGTGTGACTGTAGGCCTGGAAAATCAACAGTTTTCAATCAACAATAGAAAAAACCTATAAAATTTAATCACTTTTGAGCAAATAAACGTCTCGTAATTTAATAGAACTAGGTGTATGTAAACTTTATTGATTCACTGTATAGTTGTATGAAATAAACGAAGAGTTCTCACTCGTGGATTCGCCCATGATATGTATATATAAAATTGATCAGGTTGACGTTTTACATCTTAAGGTATATTCCTTGCTTTGATTCCTGCAAGTTGCAAGAGTACAAAATGTTCGGTTGCACCCGAACTTAATACTTCTTAACTTGTTTAACTTTAATTTTTATTGATAACTTAAGTAGAGGAAAATCTTTTTAATAGGTATATAGCGGCCCAGGGAAGTGTTTACCCGATTTTGAAACACCATTTTTGAAACACGAAAGTATTCTCTCTGAATTTTAACTGTATATTCCATACATTGACTGATATTTTTGGTCAAAAGTCAACTATAGATACTTCTTCTTCTTCTCCATTGGCATAGACACCGCTTACGCGATTATAGCCGAGTTAAAAATAGCGCGACAGTCGATTCTTCTTTTCGCTTTGTGGCGCCAATTGGATATACCAAGCGAAGCCAAGACAATCTCCACTTGGTCCCTCAACGGAGTGGACAGCGTCGAATACTTTCAGAGCTGGAGTGTTTTCGTCCATTCGGAGAATATCACATAGCCAGCGTAGCCGCAGTCTTTTAATTCGCTGAACTATGTTAATGTCGTCATATATCTCGTACAGCTCATCGTTCCATCGAATGCGATATTCGCCGTGGCCAACGCGCAAAGGACCATAAATCTTTCGCAGAACTTTTCTCTCGAAAACTAGGAACGTCGACTCGTCAGTTGTTGTCATCGTCCAAGCCCCTGCATCATATAGCAGGACGGGAGTTATGAGTGACTTATAGAGATTGGTTTCTGGTGGTCGAGAGAGAGTTTACTTCTCAATTGCCTACTCAGTCTGAAATAGCACCTGTTGGCAAGAGTAATCCTGCTTTGGATTTCCAGGCTGACATTGTTGGTGGTGTTTAAGCTGGTTCCTAAATAGACGGAACTATTTATAACATCAAAGTTATAACTATCAACAGTGACGTGAGAGCCTAGTTGCGAGTGCGACGATTGGAGATATTTCATCTTGCCCTCGTTCCCCACCAGACCCATTTGCTTCGCTGCCTTATCTATTCTGGAGAAAGCAGAACTAACACCAAGGCTGGTAAGGCCAATGATTTCAATATAATCAGCATACACCAGCAGCTGTACACCCTTTTAGAAGATTGTACCATTTCGTCAGTCATACATGTCGGTTAAAGTCATCCGGTGGAAAAATTATTTTTTTGGGCACATGGGGACTAAGGGAAGTATTGGCTCGATTCAACCCTTCTGTAGGATACAGGCGTACTACTACCAGGAAATTAAAAATTTAAATGTTATGTCGCACACACTGAAATATATATTCGGTGATTGGCTAGGGGTTTGAACAGTTATGGTTCTATTTGGAAAAATTTTGCAATATGTTTCAAGAGTATAAATAACAAGTAAGGAAGGGCTAAGTTTGGGTGCAACTGAAAATTTTACACCCTTGCAAAGCCAGGGAAATCTTTTAAGGTGTTAAACCAATCAATAGAGTAAAGTCAGCCGGATGTTCGAAAATCCTGATCTGAGTTATTGGTATATGATCACAACGATACACTGTTATGAGTAAAATACGTTAGCTATTTTCATTGAGATACCCGACCGATTGCCCGGCATTTTCGATCAAAGGTCAACTAAAGATACTGGGGTCCAATTATTCGGTACCTAGAGGCTTGAACAGTTTTGATTGAATTTGGATAATTTTTAGTCATAAGTTAGCATACTTTAAATGTATTATTAGCGAAAAATTTTATCTCGTTGCATTAATAACTTCTTCATACATACTTATGTGTATTGGAAGGTGAAATAATCAAATGGAATTTAAAAATGTGTTATATGCGAAGTTGACGTAGTTGTAGTCCGATTTCGCCTATTTTCACACTGTGATATAGAAAAATGAAAGGAATGTCATGTACTAAAGTACACTTCTAGATACTGCCATCAGATATACTGTTTTAACCAATATTTAAATTTTGTTTCACTCATTTTATAACGTGTTCTATTCTTTCGCCTGTAAATTTCCGAAAATGTTGTTACGTTATTTTACATTTTAGGTGACGATATGTATGTATGAAGGTATGCTATTTGCGGTCATATTATCAATATAATTCAGTGCAGTAATTTCAAACCTTTATGGTATTGTTTTGTTTCTTCTCAAATATATGGAACAATCACCCAAAATATCAAATTTAGCAGTATATATAAGGCTGAATTCTTTGTATGAATATTTTATTATTTTTCACAGATAAAGGCGAAATTTTGACATTGGTAAGTAGTCACAGAATCTGATTAAATTGTCGTCTTTTCGAACATACGAAAAATAAATTTTCGATTCAGCTGTTTACTAGTTTGACAAAACTTGCAAACTAATAAATTTGGAGGAAATTCTATCAAAGTTTACAATGAGTTACACTATTTTAGCTTTTGTTTTATTAGAAAGGGAAGTGATCAAGTGATCCACTTGATGCACCATGGAAATCATTTTATCATTGTATGCACTTCTATTTTTAAATTATTGTCAATTATCGATTGAATAAGAACGCAATTAGTTATCGTAATCGTAAAGTATCTGTTTTTTATAAACTTAATAATTATGAAATTTTGTGTTTTATTCATATATCTTCTCCTATGGCAATAGAGATATGTTAAGATAATTCGTAACAATAAATAAATAAATTTTTTAACTTACACTTCAAATCTGTTAAGGACACATTAAACGAATCTGAATTCATGACACCCAWTACATTTTTATCGATTTCAATTCCAATCCGACAAATGTAAGATTCTACAACACCTCTGAATATTTCTTTTATCTTATAAATGAAGATATATATTATGTACATACTTGTATATGTATTTGAACCAAATGCAAGCAGCGTAGTCGAAAATTCTCAACTGGTAACCAATATTAAAATTAATAGAAACGTTGGTTTCTGGGAATTATAAATGCTATTCTATAGATAATTTGAAATTTTTATAACAAATTATTCATGTTTCAAGAATACATAATGAAATAAAAACAAAAATTATAGTTTTTTTGTTATACGCGATCTCCTGCGGCTCCTTCGTCTCGAACAAGAGATATTCCATATATATGTGTATATATAGACCCAAGAAATTGACAAAGATTGACCAAAAAAGGCGAAATCGATCGAAAACCCGACAGGTTATTGGATGTAGAATTATTTTCAGATTATCACTGAAGCAAATTCGACAAATTATTTCTAGACCAATGCTTTTATTTATAAAGCTAAAATGAAAAAAAAAAATACGATTTTTGCTTTCAAGACCTTATACTAGGGGTGCCCTTTAAAAGAGGTTTTTAGTTTCATAAGTATTATATGGTAAGGAGTCAACTAAATATAATATTTTCTTTTAATTTTGCTCATTTTACGCATGTATTTAATAATTAAAGTGCCAAATTTTAAATTTACTTTTGGCAGAGCAAAACGTAAAATTAGTTTACACCACAGCAAATTTTTTCAGCACAACTCAACTCAGGGAAAAATGTTACCGTTTTACACACTGCTAAAATAAGAGTATTAGTATACATTTTCACCACACTTGGGTTTGTTTTATTGTAAAACATTGGATACTTATATGTACATATATCAGATATTTACTTACAATACACGTATTAGCGAACAATGAACGTATGTATATATTATTATCTTATTAGTGGTAAAAATTTGATTATTTTGTTAAAAGAACTGCATAAGGCTACGTTGTTTAAGTGAAAGGCACAATATAAATGTGCTGAATTAATATGAAATAAGAACACTGTGATATACTAGTAAACAATCCAACAATTGACTGACGACTACTGTCAAACTCGACGCAACGTAAATATGTATGTATGTATGTAGTCCTATAAAATATATTCGACCGAGCGAACGCAGAAATATAAAACATTTATGGCGCGCGAACGTTAATGTGCGTACCTCCCGGCTGCGCACAAGCCCAATATGAAATTAGTTCTCATATCAGTAAATATAAACATGTACATTGTATACCCTCTGAGGGTTGGATAAACGAACAGCACGCAACAGCTGAGCTGCAAGTAAGAGAAATCAACAAAGCCAATGCGGCAATGACTCGTTGTGTACTTGAAATGCTGGACGCAACATCAGCAGTTGAGAATCGAACGAGTTCGGTGATGAACGTGCGCACGGATAAATTCTAGAAATTTTGCTGTTTCAACCTTTCAGTTATCGAAATGTTACGGATATAGTGAAATAATACGCCTGCACATGATATTTGATATCAGCCGTATCTTGTCAAATGAGTGTTCAAGCTTGTCCCAAAAATATTTCAATATATATATATATGCCCAGATCTGATATTCAGTGAAAATGGTCCACTAACGTAGTACAGTGGTTGCCATAGATACAAGAAATTGTTTCAATGTTCTGAATTTGAAGTGTGTGATCAATGAACATTTAAAGTTCGTGTTTATTTCTTTAATATATCGGATTGGGCGAGATATAAAAGTAATGTCATTGTTTAAAATAAAAAGATTTTTCAAAACCCTTGCCGCTTTTTTAAGCTCTGCACATTTAGTTTTAGTTGGTAATTTCCATCTGAATTTAAATTGGTTGAAAATGTTCGCACTCATTAGTCTTAAGGCACGCTCCAATCTACAAGTTTATCTTTTATATTCTGTAAATTCTGCGTTTGCACCTGTATATGCTTTGTTTTGAGACACACTCAAATGCCCTCGTAAATACAATATAGCATAAATGACTAGCCAGATGCATCCCTTCTCCAAATATATGCTTAATAAATACGTACATACAAAGCAATTTCATATGAATACACAATATAAATGTTCATAATAACCAAATGTATGTATTTGTACAATTAATATGGAAGATCTAATTATTTATAAGACATAAAATTATACATGGAATATTGAAAAGTGAAAGTAGGAACAATTCTATGTCAGTAAAATACGTTTAGTTAAATGTTGAACTAAAATAAATTAAATTCTTTGGTAAACTTGAACAGTCCAGTTTCTGAGCAATTAAAATATCCTTAGTAAATTGAAACTGGTTAGAAATATGTTAGAATTTAATGTTTTAATACTGAGTATATACTACATTCATATATATATTTTATATTCAAAACTGATCATCAGAAATTTTTTTATATATTGTACAAAAAGAAACATTTAATGTGCATTTTTAACTTAACTTTCTTTATGAACAAATTTACAACTTGTACCATACTGCCTTAGAGGTTATTATATTGAAAATATATTATCGGCATACTACATGAGTTTTTAGTTTATTATTATAAAAGATGTATGATTTTAAATGTGGAATCTTAATATAAACATATTTATATGCATATAAACAATCTTTTGTGTGTTATGCATAAATTTATAAAGGAAAATGATGAGCTCCAAAAATTAATTAAGCAACTTCCTGTACCTATTTTTACATGGGCAAATTTTTGAAACATAATTTTTTACCAATCATCTTAATTTTAGATGTCGAATGAATGGGAAGTCTTGCAACATACTTAATGATATTTATCTCACTATCGACCTAAAGGCAATGAAAATGCACCTGCTGTGGCTCATCAGTAGTATGGGATTATCGCTGTTACGCCTACAGCTCACCCAATGCAATGATATTGAACAGTTGAGGATTGGCATAGCGGGAAACCCAAATGAACACAGCGTAGGAAATAATGATCAATTGAATACCAATTCTGGCATAAATAGGAACGATCTTGCTTTAATAAATACTAATAATAGTATGTTGGGGACAATTTTTAGTGGAGGCGGAACTGCAAACAAAGATATAAATACTGATATTAATTTTGGTGAAGCAAATACGGGAGTATCTGTTAACTTTGAAACAGGATTAGGCGATCAAGGAAGTATAAAAGTTGATAGTGACTTTCCGCTAGCAGCAGTACCAGGACTAGGGCACAACACAGATTTCATTTCTACTGGTCAATTTAGAGGACACAAGCAAATCAAACCTTATGGTCAACAATATGGCCACGCATTAGCTGGTTTGACGAATTTGGGAATTATTATACCAAAAAGCAAAGGATCTAACCTTGAGGATTTTGCACGTAATAGCGGAAGCCGTAAAATGCAAACTAAAGTTGATAGTGAAATCAACTTAATGGACTCAACGAATATAAGTGGAAGTAACGGTGGGCAGAATACGTACCTGTAAGTAAAATTTTAATATAAAAACTCATATTACTTTTACATTAAAAAAAAGCAAAACATTGAAATGTTTACTTACATTATTAAATAACATCAACGAAACATTCTAGATTTGTACTACCAAAATAGTCGGCATAGTCAAAGCATACTCAGAATTTCAAGATAAATRGACATATATACTACTGTGATCAAATTGAAAGGAATTTTTAAATTATACTTTGCGTGTTTTTCGAATCGGTGAAAGTGAAATCTAAACAAATAAGAACGATAATGCACCATAACATACTGCAATAGTTGTTCGTGATCTTTTCGCCACATTTTCAACTAATATCGTGGCGGATATTTGGCTATTCAGCATTTTCACACGACCACTCTGAGGACACCGTTTTGACTCAATTGAGGATATAAAACTGAATCGAAGAAGGCTTTGATGGCCATCACGACTGAAGATTTTGCCAAGTGCTATGATGACTGCAAAATTCGGTGGCATAAGTGTTTTGCAGCGTTAGCTAATTCCTGTTAAGGAGATGAAATGGACAAAATTCGCCTTTCAATTTGATCACAGTAGTATGTGCATGTAAACAAAAATCACTGTACACTGTACACAGCTACTGGTGTGATTTTATTTTGTATTTTCGAAGAAAAAATGTTCAAATGATTCTTACATGAATATTGAACACATGAAATATAAGTAGTTTATGAATTGTTGTGACTTTTAACATAAAACGATAAAAATTAGTCGTAATTTTCGTCCAAATCGGTTCAGCCGTTCTTGAGTTTTAAATAAAAAATAATAATTTGCGAAATCGAGGGTGAAAAAAGCTACCGTTAGGACCTTTTCCAGAACTAAAGGAATACCCGTGCAAATTTTCACGTCTTTCCGCGCTGTGGTTCGGCCGTATTGCGCGGACATACTAAAAAGGCGTTTCATTCAATGAATGAAATACGCATAAGCCTTAAATTTAATATCCGTAATATAATGACTTCCGATTATTTAGTTGACTTTTCCCACGCCACCACTGGTCTTAATATAATTTATTGGCATTGAGATGAAAGCGTCAAACAGGGAATCGTAAATGGGTATATTAGAGATCTGATTCATATTCTGCGCTAAACCATATTACATAAAAGAAAACTTGTCCACTTCATTTCATTAATATATTGCACATCTTAACCTACATAAATGGATTAAAGTCAAGTTGAAAGTCCAAATAATTAAATAGGGTATATTGGGGCTACAAGAAGTTGTGGACTGTTCCGATTAATGTTTATAATGACTGAAGTATTCGCAAAAACCCGTGTTGCTGTATCTTTAGGAATATCACGAGCACACTGACTTACAGCATAAGGTCATAGTATAAAACCGCTAAGAATATATATATCGATATCGATTAAACGCTATAAAGTCAGCTCTAAGTCCGAAAATTTGAATGTTATGTATATAAGGCATCGGTTTTGCCCGTTTGCGACACAAGAACACATTTTTATCAGGAAAATATTCTCCCCGATTTTGAATAATACATATATCTCACCGACATTTTCAGTACAAATTCCGCCATAAGGAAATTTGAGCTTGTTGTGATCCGGTTTTGACAAATTTTAGAATTGAGATGGAAGATGTGCCAAGGAACTATTTGTGTAAATATAATTTATTGATATTGAACGATATTTGATGTTAATTTATTTTGTGGCAGCAATGTAAATTGATTACTTGGGATCATCGGAATCCTCGGTATATGAGCTAGTTGACCAACTGCTGGGCTGATGATAATGGTTGCTACAGTTAAATTGTCCTTCAGTTCCTTAATAAGCAGCCTCGTTCCGTTTTAAATGCTTGGAGGACTTACATTCCTTTGATTCCTCGAAAGCATAATTGGAATTCCTTTTTTTAAAGCCATTTCATGTAGTGGCAGTGCAGAAGGGTTTAATGAATTTAAAAACTCCTAGGGATAATGGTCTGCGTTTCCGACATTAGTTACGGTGTATATCTATTTATATTTTTTTGTTTTTCCTGGAACTTTTTGAATATTTWAATCGTTTATTTTTTTGACACTATCATTTCTGGGTTACACTATTGCCTTAGAATACATCCACAAATTCTCGATATATTAAAATTTAAAAACTATGGACTAATTGGCCTAGAGACTCATCCAGACGAAAATTACAATTACTCATTGAATTTGGAGTGGGAAAAATTCCTTCCTGAAATTTAAGCAGTTGCTGTAGAAAATCACCATCAGTGATTCCATACAGATGAGTTCACATATTCGTCCGGAAGTTTATATATTTATTAAGAATGCTTTGATGATATGTATCTGCTCGCGTAACTCTGTTAATGACAGGAAAAGTCTGTTGGGAATCTCCAGAAAATATAAAAGTTATGCGCCTATGTGAGCAAAGGGGTTTCTAAAGACTTTTAACATTCTGCCATTCGGCCTCTATACGAGTTTTATAGCTCATGATGTATCCATACCACATAATCTTGCAATAGTTAACCAAGGGGTCCATTTTAGCAAGTGTTAAGTTTGCAAGAAAGATTTTGCCAGGCCCTGGCGCATCCAAAAATAAATATTGTTTTTGTTATTATTCACACTATAACTCGCGCTTTTCGGTGTGTTGCTGCTTAGTTAAATGTTAAATAACATTCTCTACCTAAATTTAACATTCTCTGCTATAAATAAGTAATGAATTTTTTTTGACTTTACGCTGGTAAGTCGGTTAAAAATTAACATTTTCTGATTTTTTTTCTAACCATTCTCATTGGATTACCTTCAAAGTGGTTCAGGTCATTTTTCTTATCAAGCAACGGTTTAGTCAGCTATAGCGAACGCAAAAAAACCCAAATTGTTTTTATATATATGATTACATAAAAAAGAAATGTAGTAACATACGCTAAGCAACACTATCAATTGTTTAAGCAGCTAAATACATTGCATATATAGGTAATGCTTTTCATCTAACATACAGGTGTGAATGTTAAACATTTTGACGTCAAAAAGTCATGGCCGTAAACCGCGGATGGACGCAGTCAGGATGGTAAAGATTCGCAAAGTAGAGYTCTTCAATGTTAAATATCTTTTTCCCTAAAAATTTCAAAATTATTTTTAACTACTTTGTATCAGCCAATAAGAGTGTTATGTATATTAATAATTACCATTGCTACAACCTGGTGTAGAGATCTTCAAACTGAATATCGTTAGTTGGCTGATTTGAGGGTTCCCCTACCACAATTTGGTACATGAAAGTTTGCGAGAGTTACTAATTTTCGACTACGTTAAAACTTAGCTGTTCCTTATTTATTATTTTTTGTGGTTCGTCAAATAGTTAGTATTTTAAATATTTATCACATTACTTTTGAAACTGCAAAAAACATAGATTTTTTCATGGGAGTATGTTCTTTAAGTTTGGAGATCATAGCATGTGAAAAAGATTTATTATAGTTAAGGATTGTAAGAGGGTTCAGTGAGTTCTCTATTAGAAAATAAATAATTATTGGTCGATTTTTTCAAAGACTGTTTTAATCACCTTTTTGACTATTTTTAACTTTCAGTGGTATTGCGAAATTAAAACGATGCGTTCTTTTCACCATTGCAATATAGTAGAGTCTGTTTCATATAAATCTTTGAACATTATTTAGTTCGTGGAGAAAAGACAGTGGCGGTATTGATCACGATTTCTTCTTATGCCTTTTCCTTTCTATTGCAGTGATATAATTTTCTTCATCCCGTAAACACTCTCGCAACATGTCGCTACAGGTTAATATGTGTAGTTTTGTCATTATTCACTTGTTTTTAAAACATAATGCTAATTCAAGGGCTATAAAAAAGCTCCATATTAATATAAAAACTTTTTATTAGGTGAAAAATATTGTGGTCAGGGTAGACATTTATGGATTGAAATTTTTCAATTATAAATTTAATAAGCACAAACCACTGAAGTGTAACGGGTTAGTTGAAAACTACCGAAAGAACGATAATTCAATAAATAATCACATTTCATTTTGCTTCCGACATTGTTCACAAGGGCGTTTTAGGATCCGGTATCGAAATTTAACAATAGGCATGGTGCACTATACCTTTTGATGAAACCCTATATCTCAAGAATTAATAGCAATTTCAACGGATTTGGGGACATTAATTCTACAATCGTATGTTTTGTTTTGAAACGGTCAAAATCGGTCAATAACCACGCCATGTATAAAAATTTATTATTTCATAAGACTCTTTTATTTTAAAGAGTATATCTCAAGCACCAATTAAGATTTTGATTATAGGCCAAAAAATAGTCAAGATCGGACGATAGCTTCTAAAGTCCCCAGATACTGATCATGTGGGCCTAAGTACCTATGGCTGATAATGTCTAGAAAATATAAGTTAAACTCTGAGCTATTATATGAAATGTGCTCTTAAGTCAAAACAGGATAAATTTGGGTCAATACTTCGTTATCAGCAATATGCCTTTTATAAAGATTTTCGACCTTTCGAGCGACTTTATATCGCATATAAATTTATAGATCTCTAATAACATTGTGTCTTTGCGCTTACTATGGATCAAATCGGCGCAATACTACCCCTGGATCTCGTATACCTAATAAACGAATTTAAAATTTCCGGCAGATTTTAAAGCGCTATCGGTAAAATTTTAAGGTTTTTAGTGAAGCATAATAAAATAATGCATATATTACAGTGTAATTCTGATAATTCATAATATTGGTCCACGGTTAACCGCAAATAAACTCTATAACTGGTTTTCGTTAATCTACTACAATTTATGTCGAATATGTCGGTTAATATGTGAGTTATCATTTTAAATTGTTTGGAAACTTGTTCTCGAGAAATTTACTAATATCATATGTTAATACTGTCGCCCAGATCTTTTCTCCGCATATACGTCATATAATGATTTCCATCCATTTTGACTTTCTATCTGACTTTGAACAGTTTTTGTTGGCAAAAATGTGTGAAATTTTAGCGGAATTAAGTGGATTTCTTCATTTAATATTATATT